CTTTGACACCTTTTCGTTTAACTGGAGGCTCAAAAGGTGCGGAGTTCTACCATCACAACATAAAGCCTTACTTTGGTGCATTCAAACTACCTTGAGGGTATGCTCGAGTTTTGATGTCGGGCAGTAATATTAACTTATTAGATCGTTCATTTGCACGTATATATCGAATATATTTTCATAGATTATATTATAGTCGGATCCGATTCAGGTCGTATAGTCATTTTAGAATACAATCCGGCAAAGAATAAATTTGATAAAATTCATCAAGAGACATTCGGAAAATCTGGATGTCGACGAATTGTGCCTGGACAATACTTGGCTGTAGATCCGAAAGGGAGATCAGTTATGATTGGTACGTGTTATTGATTTAATTTGTTAGAACCTGTTTAATTAATCACGGCCTAATTTTTTTTTCCCTCACAGGTGCAATCGAAAAACAAAAACTTGTTTACATTCTTAATCGTGATTCTGCGGCTAATTTAACTATATCTTCGCCATTGGAAGCTCATAAATCACATACATTGGTACATCATTGTATAGGCTTGGATGTTGGTTTTGACAATCCTGTCTTCGCTTGTTTAGAGGTAGATTATTCTGAAGCTGACCTTGATCATACCGGTGAGGCCTTTAATAATACTGAAAAGGTAAGCACTGTAACTATTATTGCTATTATATATTTGTCCGTTGTATTATGCTTATAATGTTATTGATTATTAGATGTTAACGTATTACGAATTGGATCTTGGTCTAAATCATGTTGTAAGAAAATGGAGTGATCCAGTTGATGCACGAGCCAATATGTTATTTGCTGGTAAATATTCATCATTTCTAATATACTTACCTAATATCTGTGTGCTAATTTTATTGCTAACTATAATATAATAGTTCCTGGTGGTAATGATGGTCCTTCTGGCGTACTGGTTTGTTCGGAAAATTTTATAACGTACAAGCACCAACATGCACCTGAACTTCGTGTGCCAATTCCACGACGCAAGAATCCGCTAGAGGACCCATCGCGCGGGCTCATAATTGTTGCTGGTGTTATGCACAAGATGAAAGGAGTTTTCTTTTTTTTACTACAAAGTGAAGAAGGTGATATATATAAAGTCACACTTGACTACGAGGACGATAAGGTGAAGGCAATTAAAATTAAGTATTTTGACACCGCGCCCATCGCTGCATCATTATGCATACTCAGAGCTGGTTTTCTGTTTGTAGCTGCGGAATTCGGAAATCAGTATGTTGTTTGATTTACGTCATCATTATGTTACTATTCAAGATTTTCGCAATATCTAATTGTTTCTTCCTTTCTTATAGCCGACTATATTCATTTACAAGTCTTGGTGATGATAATGACGAACCAGAGTGGTCCAGCGAAAATTTTATGGACACCGATCTAAATCATCCTGCGTTGGCATACTTTATCCCGAGAGAGCTACAAAATTTAGAACGAGCTGATGAATTAGAAAGCCTAAATCCACTAATTGATGCCAAGGTACCATTCTTCAATTTCGTTCATATATTTAATGTCGCGCTGATACTGAGATTTGAGGTCTCAATTCCTCAATTCGAGTCTACTAAACCCACTAAATCACTCTTTTATTAACAACTCTAACCATGAATCCTAACCTAACCATAAAAAACAAAAAAAAAAAAAAAATTTAAAAAATTTCATATCAAAATAAGGACAATTCCCAGCCGATCTCAGCTTCAGCCGCGACATTTAATACATACTTATGTTCAATTCAATTGATGTTTCATTGTAGGTTCTGAACCTTACAGATGATGATACACCGCAATTGTACGCTTTATGTGGAAGAGGCTCCGGCTCAACTTTCCGGATATTAAGGCATGGGCTAGAAGTATCTGAGATGGCGGTTTCTGAACTACCTGGCAACCCTAATGCCGTTTGGACCACTAAACTTAGATCCGATGGTACGTTAAATGCAGATTTTCGCTCAATGTCAACTTAAATAAAAAATTATATATTGAGAGATATTAATTTGATTAGCATTTCATAGATGAATTTGATGCTTATATTATTGTATCATTTGTAAATGCAACATTGGTACTATCCATCGGGGAGACTGTTGAAGAAGTAACTGATACCGGATTTCTTGCTACAACGCCCACGCTGGATGTTCATCAACTTGGCGACGATGCATTACTCCAGGTAAAATATTAAAAATAACATCTCTGTAATATTTTATCTTTCTTATATTCATTCGATATTTTATTCATTTAAAAAAAGATATATCCTCAAGGATTGAGACATATCCGTGCTGATCGCCGCGTAAATGAATGGAAAACACCTGGCAACAGAGCCATAGTGAAAGCTACAACCAACAAACGTCAAGTTGTTATAGCATTAACTGGTGGTGAGCTCGTTTATTTTGAGTTAGATAACCAAGGACAGTTGAATGAATATCAAGAACGCAAAGAAATGACAGCGAATGTACCAAAGTAAGGCTTTATGTTGTGATGGTAGAACTCCGCACCTTTTGAGCCTCCAGTTAAACGAAAAGGTGTCAAAG